TGGAAGTTTCTGTACCTAATCTTTCCAGAATAACCATAAAATCAGATATGCAATTATTGTCTTTGATTTGGAAAAAAAGAAGCTGAAAACAATCTGAGACATTAAAAATACACAGAATATTTCAATATCCCTTGAGAAAGAGAGTTAAAAGAGAGATCCCACTGAGACTCTGAAGTTTGTGCCTGTCTTGGAGCTCCTGGATCTAAGTTCTCCAGTCCAGCTCTCTTGAGAGCTGTAGCAAACTTATATGAATCAGGCAGCTCAATCCTGTATATGAAACTTTCCAGAATTCCCTGGTATCGCACCCACAAAGACACCAGAAGAGGCTCAATGATTTACAACTAACTTTTCAGGAGAGGGAAGGTACAGGGTCAATAAAAAGAACTGGAAATGTTCTGTTCTTTTTAAAATTATTATTGATTTATTGTATGCTTCATTAACTATTTTTGTGTACCTCTCTTCTGTGTGTAAATATCAGATAAATTCCCTACAGACATGTGTGATGCTCCTTTGCATCTCCCACTGTTTGATTGGTCCATGTCATCGGCCACTGGGTGACTGATGCATTTTGACATAGTATTAATACATAATAGCAAGGACTCTGGAGCCAGATGCCCGAGTCTAAATTCTGGTTCTATCACTTACTGATTGTATCACTTTGGGCAATTTACTTCATTTTTCTATAGCTTACTTTTATCATAGACAAAAATGGGGAGAATAGTATCTTCTCATAAAGTTCTTGTGAGAATTTTATAAATTAATATAAGTAAAACACTCAAACTAATGTCCGCCCACAGTAAATACTATCCAATATCAGCTACTATGATATGTGTAGAACACCAAAGGATGCAAGTTAGTAGAACAGGTGATTTCTGCCCCACAGGAACGTTTTATATCATTGAAAAGACATGAAAACCATCTCCAAAAAGTTAGAAGACCACAGTCAAGGTAAATGTTAAATATGCTAAGCAAGCTGTCACAATGTATGAATGATTGTCAAAAGAATGATACAAATATTTGAATTCAGAGAAGGGAAAAACCGCAGTGGAGTGGAATGATGAGGGAAGGAGTCATGGAAGAGGTAAAATTTGAGCAGAACTTTGAAAAATAAGTTGTATAGAGGTGAGAAAAGAGTCTACGCAAAACCCGCATGTTCATCGCTGCATTATTCACAATAGCCAAGATATGGAAACGACCCACACGTCCGTGACAGACAAATGGATAAAGGAAATGTGGAATATACATACGATGGAATATTATTCAGCCTTAAAAAGAAGACAGTCCTGCCATTTGTGTTCACATAGATGAACCTAGAAGATATTACACTAAGTAAAATAAGCCAGTCACAGAAGCACAAAAATTGCATGATTCCACTACATGAGCTATCTAAAATAGTCAAACTCACAGAAGCAAAAAATAGAATGGGGGTTGCCAGGGACTGGGGAGAAGGGGCAATGGGGAACAGTTCTTCAATGGGTATGAAATTTCTGTTACGTAATATGAGTAAGTTTTGGAGATCCGCTATACAACATAGTGCCTATAGTTAACAATACAGTATTGTATTGTGCACTTGAAAATACATTAAGAGGATAGATCCTATGTTAATTGTTCTTACCTACCAAAAAAATCAACAACAATACAAAAGAATAAAAAGATATTTTTGGAGGTATTGAATATGTTTACTATCTCGGTTGTGGTAATAGTATTATGGATGTATGCATATGTCCAAACTCATCAAGATGTCTACATTAAATGTGTACAATTTCTTATATATCAATTATACCTTAATAAAGCTAAAAAAGAGTCTAATGTGAAACAGATTTTTGCCATACTTTTTTTATTTCAACAAGAATAATACTAACTCATGATCACTGAATATTTTCTGGCTACCAGATAATGTGCTGAGCACTTTACATTCATTATTATATTTAAATTAAATTAAATTAATGCTGACCTATGGTAGACCACATTACACAGATGAAACTACTACATTAAAAAAAGAAAATATTACATGAAAATTATATATATATATATATTGAGTGGCTCACCCAGTGTTATATGGTCAGTGAGTGTCACAGAGGGAATTTAAACAGCTATGTTCTTAGCCACTATACTAACATCTTCTGCAGGATCTTCTTTCTTTAAATTTTTCTTTATAACTTTTCTCTGTGGCATGTTTTACCTCATGTGTCTCAGATCTTCTGTCACTTTGAGTTTTGTTTTTGTTGTTGTTGTTATTTTTGCCATTCTCTGGAAACAAGCATTTTTCTTTTTTTTATTTTTCCCCCTGAGATAGGGTCTCACTCTGTTGCCCAGGCTGGACTGGGGTGCAGTGGCACAATCCTAGCTCAACGCAGCCTTGAACTCCTGGGCTCAGGCAATCCTCGCGCCTCAACCTCCTGAGTAGCTGGGACTACAGGTTAGCGACACCATGCACAGCTACTTTTTCTTTTTTCTTACTTATTGTACAGATGGGGGTCTCACTCTGTGGCTCAGGCTGGTCCTGAACTCCTGGCCTCAAGCAATCCTCCCATCTTGTTCTCCCAAAGTGCTGGGATTACAGGCATGAGCCACCATGGCTGACCCTATTTTTCATTTTTTTTTTATTGGCACTCTGGTTCTTCTTCACACAGGTATAGTCTTCATCAACATAACACAGTTTCTATCAGATACAGTAATTTCCTTAATATCTATAATCTCTATCGGAAATTCATTCATACTTATACTAATTTCCATATTTCTTGATTATTAAAACATTTTTCATAGGCTGTATTAGGATTATATTTACTAACTTTCCCAGTAACATACTTCCCATAAGCCAAGACAAAAACTATTTACTAGCTGCAAAAATGAAACCAACTCCAACCTATTACAACAATCATTATTAATACGTCAATGCACAGTGTCTCACTGTGGGAGACAAGATTGGAAAGGTGAATTGAAATGTTAATTTGACTGTCTAGTCACAAAGGGTGAACTTTACATAATATCCTTAGGGATCCTTAAAAAGATTTTGAGTGGGGCAGGGAAATACCAAAATCAGAATTTCAGGAAGTTATGTTTGGTGCTGACATGCAGGTTATTATGAGAGAAAGACACTATCAGATAAACATCTGGAAGACAATAATCCAAGATTGAGTGTGACATTTAACAAAAGGAAGAAGCAGTAGAACCAGTGATATACTGGATATTTGGCTTAAGAGCGAAGAGAATGTAAGAATCCTACCAAAACATCATTATTACCATGTCATGATCATGCTTACAGACTTTAAAAGACACACACGCACAGAGACAGTGCCTGGTGGTCTCGTGTTTCATGTAGTTTCACTCATTGTCTGGCAGCTGCTGCATCTTCATCATCTCATCAAATCTTCAAGACAAGCCTGTGATAATGAATTATTAGCCTTATACTACAGGGAAGAAACTGGGTCTAGAGAGATTAAAAGACTTGATCAAGCACCAGAGCTGGGAGAGAGAGAAAGAGAGCACAGAAAAGTAATACTTTTCATTTCAATAACATTTCTCTGTTTACAAAACACATTCACATTCTTTATTTTTATTTCTTTGCATCCTAAAAATGACTATGTTTTCAGTGGGAAACAGAGTTTTTCAGGGACGGCTTCTTGCATGACACTATTTCAAGCTGTCAGGCCTACACTTGGGTATGGAGACATCTTTCTCTCAAAATACCAGCTTCCTCAATGCTCCCTGTAATTGGCAAGATCCCTACTTCCCAAAAGAGTGTACTGACTCATCCTTTCTTCAGAAACTAATCTTAAATGCTTATCCCTACCGTGCCTGAAATCACAACTTTGGAAAGACAAAGAGGGGCAGAGAAATAACAAAAGTAGCTAATGTTCAATCACATTCAAGACATTCTTATCTGTTCATGGAGAAAACACATTCATGTTGTGTTAACCTTTTAGGTGACCCAAATCTGTCTTACTAACCCAGCTTGATACTAATGCCTGGAAATGGTTCTGTCTAAAGAGCCAAGTAAGAGTGTGCCCATTGATTTGATTGGTTCACAGAGAATGTTCTGATTTACGCCCCCTCCCCATAAAATTGTGCACCAAAGGTTTACCAGAGCGATTCTTACAGATGCTCCAATGGAAATTTCTTAGAAAATCTTGGCTATGTCTAATCAATTATCTTCAGATATGAAAACATCTAGAAAATTCCGAGGGAAAAAAATCACACACATTCATTACCCATCTAACATTTTTATCTTCTCTTTCCAGCCCAGGAAGGTATTTTAGTGTTTCCGTTTAGACTCTGTGTATGTTGGTGGGGGAAGATGGGGAGTTACTTTTACCACAATAAACATGAGGGTGAAAATCTTGAGAATGCTAGCATTGGGTCACTAGCTTTATCTGCAGATAAAAACCCGCACAAAACAGATAATGGCTTATTTTGCACCTCTCTTACATATGTTTCCCCCAGCTCACTAAAATGATTGTCTTCAGAGCCTGTGTCCATTATTCCTATACTGTCTTCCCTGCAATCAAGTTCCCTGAATAAATACAGGGGCTGAGTTACAATTAAAAATAATAAGACCCTGCTGGGCCAATGTCCTTGCATGCAATAAAAGGGTGTGGACTCACTGCAAAAGCAGAGACTTTTCCCCCCATTTTGCTTCACTTTGATTGGTGGATTGGCACTTTAAATAAAGGTTTCTCTTCTTCCCTGAATGAGTGGTACAGAGCAAGTCCCACGCACACGCCAGAAAAAATTTTAATCTTCTTTTCCTGGAACTATCTTGGTTGGCATCGTCAGGCCCTGAGAGCACAGTGCATGTCAGAATCTAAGGTAAAATGGGGTTTTATGATTTCCATGTGTTTCCTGTGAATTCTTTTTTCCTATCTTCACACAGCTTTTATAAAGAGGATTTATCTTCATTTGTCACCGGAAGCTGAGTATTAGCTTATTGGAATCCATTAGCATGTTCCAGAGAAGATACACCTAATACCCATCCAACTGAGAAAAAAAAGACTCAGCTGTAGGCTTCTTTTTTCACTATTTGTGATTATTAGTGATAGTGCCTAATTTTATAAAGTATTAGAAGACAAGCAAATCTCTTGGTTAGGCAGATCTCCATTTATGTAAGAATAAAGAGTCTTTTGAATTTATAAAATAAATATAAAGAGATAATTCATTTCAGAAAGATAAAAACTAAATTTTGAGACATATTTTCCACTAATATCAAAGGAAATTAAAATATTCAATTTACTCTTATTTTTAAAAGATAAGTTTTGGCATAGTTATGTAGTTAGCCTTAAACATTGCAAGATGTACCCTATATCTACAAATAAAAATTTGTTATAAAATGACTGTTAGGTGTATTACATTCCAAATGCATTTCAAAATTTGTCCCAGAGAATAAGCAAAGTATAAACTTCTGGAATGATACTTTATAGATCAATATTTCACTCAGTGGAAGAGATTTTTAAACTCATAATTCATTTTCTAAAAAGAAACACAGCATTTAAAGAATATCCATGGACGGTGTTCTTATGTATTTATTTAAGTTGTAGCTCCATAAAAAAGTGCTTAGATATTTTTTAATTCCTTGTCAATTCATTTCAGAGACTACTAAATACAAACCAATTGTTTAGCAACATTTGGTTCTTGTTTTTGTTTTTTAAGCTTAACAGTGTTGTTTTTGGAAGAGCAAGACTCGGGGTCATTCAAAAAATTGTCTTTTAACCATTCTGAGGTAAAAATTCATCTGATTTAATTCTACAACCCGATTATGTTTTAGATTCCACTTTTCAAAATGAAGGACCTGGTGCTGATTCTGTGCTTCCTGCACATGAGTGTCGCGGTGCCGGTAAGTCAGTCATTCTTCTAGAGTGGGCCCTGAAAGGGGCTCCTGATTTCTGGACACCAAACAACACTGACGGGACCTTGGCTGAGAGTCTATGCATGGACTCACTTGGCTTAATCCAGTGGTATAGTCCCCACTGAGCAAAGCCATAGTTCCCCAGATGTCAGCCTTACCATAGAAAAGCAATAAGTCAAACGTGATTTTTCTATTCAAAAAGATATTTGAAATATTCCAAAGATAATTTCTAATCTTATTCCACTCATTCGAAATTAAAAGACTTAGGCGATCTCCGCAATGCATGGCACAATTTTATTATCAACTCCTTACTATCATTACAAAATTGAAATGGAAAGAAAAAATTTCCCTGAAAAAGTAAAGCACATTTTCTTCATTTTAAAAAGGACAATATTAGCCTAATTACTATGATTACAAAACTGAGCTAGGTAATTTCATTTGAATCTAGTAATGAACTAACAAATCTACCTTGTAGGGGTGAAATTGTGTGACTGAGAGCTGAAGTTTCTCAAATCAAAATATGTCATGGCAATGGGGCTAATTGTATGTTACAGGCCCACATCTGATCCAGTCTAGCTTATACTGAAATGTTCTCATACAAACACAGTCCTTTGAGCACTGGACTACTCCAGCCAATGGCATGCAATTGTTATCACAAAGACTTTATTCAGCTGCTATGTGCATTCAGCAAGTATCACATAGGTATGGCAGCTGTCACCTATCCCAGCAAGGTGCTGGGCATTGGAGATGCAAAGGTACATAAGCCATGATCTCTTGTCTTGAAGAGTTCATAGTTGGCCTCAAATAAACTTCAGAATATTTTAATTCCTTGAGAGAAAAGATTACCTACTTGGTTTTCTTAAAGTTAAGTGTTTTAGAGAAAGAGGATGAAAATTGATTACAAGGATGAAAACCTTAAATTCACAAATAAAGATAGAGTCTCTGTTCCACTACCCAAGATGAATTTTAAGTGAACGAAAGAAAAATTGAGGCCACCACCCTAGCTTATCTTTGTATGACACTGAATTGGGGTTGGCCTTAGCCATTCCCCGGCAATCTAACACCTTGACGCTCTTTGAACCTGTACTGATCCACACTGAATCATCAGGTCCACTCTAGGGAACAGGACAACTGCTTATGATTGCCAACTGAAGGTCCGTCAAATGAGATGTTCTTCTCCTTTGTTTCCACACGGGAAGTGTAACCTGTCTATTTGCATTCATGTAAATATTATTCTTTAACTCATGACTTGGAAGAGATGGAAAGCCAAGTATACTTCGTCTTGTAGTTGAATCTGCCCAAGATTATTCGTGTGCAGACGAAGTGGCGTAGAGAGAGAAGGCTCTGCTCTCACAATCCCCTCACATTCTGAACAATCTGCCCACGACACACACCCATACACACACACAAGCACAATCACTTTTCCTTCCTATCAATATCACCCTTCAGGTAGCTAATCGCTTTCTCTACCCAGAGTGTTGACTACACATTTGTAAACTCTTTTCTCTCTTCATGTCCAAAACTGAATTATTTGGAGAACTGAATTATTTGCTCCGTGACTCACAAGTTAGAATTTTACTTATATGAAGAAGTAGAGGGTAGAATTCCTGCACTTCTTACTCATAAAGGAAAAATAATCCCAATACATTTAGTAGACATTCCATAAATATTTGTGGTATAAATGCAGGCAGGCATTACAACCCCTTGACCCTAGACATTGTGAGTATCCAGAGAACCAGAGACTCTCAAAATCCAATCTACTCTAATTCCTACTCTTCCATTTTCCATTTTGTCCACTGGCATTTGTGTATATTAATAAGGATTGGTTTAAAACAGGAAATATCGTATTACATTTTAAAAAGCTAGTTGTAAATATAGCTATATTTTTGAACAACTTTTAAATGAACACATTAAGTGTAATAGTACTTAGTGCTAGAATGCTTTTTATGTAAAAAGCATTCTAAAATACCTCTGATATGATGCAAAAAATATAAACACGGATCTACAGGTTTATACATAAAATAATCTTTCACTAAAGATAATAGAGAATTTGTTAAAGCCCTTTCAACAGGAGGCAAGTTGGGTTTTGCACATGATTTTTCTGAATGCCATGATCCCACGCCATATCTACGAACCAAAAGCACGTGGGTTTGTCAAAAGCACAAGACGGTTCAGCTCAAGTTTGTCCCTTTGGCTGTTTTCTGTTGTAATTTTTTAAGAATACAAAGTACTCTTCGTTTTCCATTTTGTTGCTTTGTTTTACTTCTCATTGTGTCTAACTTTAAACTAATCAAATTTTGCTTTTAAACCAACATAGTGTTAAGATGCATAAGACAGATGATTCACATGGGAGCAAAATGATCAAATATTATGTTAATTCTCCCAAATAACTTAAATTCTTCTTCATTCTGCCCAAAAGCTCAAGTCATTTGGTTAATAAAACAACATTGGTAATAAACCTCTCAGCTAACCCTTATGTACTGGGGCGACTTTCTATTCCCAATGTGCATATAAGAAAGTTCAAACCAAAGAGAACTCAAAATTATTCTTATTTCCGTTTAGGTGTTTCCGCAGCAATCTGGGATCCCAGGCATGGCTAGTTTGAGCCTTGAGGTATGTATTGCCAGACTTTTTACATGTAATCTTTACATTGGTACATTCCTGATAAAAGAGAAATATGATGAGCTGTTTGTCAGTTTTCCTAGTCAGAAGTGTGTGGCTGTCATCCCAGCAATTCTAGAAAAGTTAACGACAGTCATTAGAACCTTGTCTTGTAGTTGCACCACAATTTTAAACTCTCAGGCGTTTTAAGTTTAGAACATTATCTGTATGCAAATCAAAGCAATACTAACAATTAATACCTAATATATATTATAGACACATTAATATAATTATTGCATTAATACAATTACTACATTAATTAAAACATATTGCTCTGTAGTTTATATTTAGTCTTGCTCCTTATAGCATCTTCTATAATAAAATTCTGATGAAGAAAATTTACTTGCACAAAATCTAATTGCTTATAAGAAGCCCCGTAAATAACATTAACATTGAGCTATGATAACTTCCTGCTTAGCCTATATTTCTTGCGGTTCTGATAAATAATATATATTCTGTTTAAAAATACCCAGTAAATAGAAATTTTTGACCATATGAATAAAAAGTTGACAATTATAAAGAGAAAGAAATTTATGAGATTATAAACTTTTCACAGCGTCTTGTGAATTTTCTTTATACCATGATAATCTGAGAGTAATCAATGCCTATTTGAGCTAGATGCTTATTTCACATGGAAGCTAATTTCACTGAGTTGCTGGTTTGGGCTTTTTTTTCACCCCCTCACTTTTTAGTATAAACTCAATCCGAAGCACTCAAAATCTCTTTTCATTAAAAAAGTGAAATTGTCTTTCTGTAGAAATGGCAGCATTCTCGATAATCTATCCAGATACTTAAAATTTCTTCCAATTTTGTTTATTTATTATTTTGAGGGAATTTTTGTTTGGGAAGGAGGTGAGGGTTGTTTTCGTTTGATTTTATTTATATGTTTTTTCAAATTCGTCTTTGGGCTGAATTTGTAAAAGGCGAAGTAAGTTAAACGGGGGGAAGAGAGTCAACAGAGCAAAGTCCTAACAATCACATTTATATTTCAGTTGAATAAGCTATTTTCCCATGTTTCAATGTAACCACTACTTAAATAATAATTTTTCTCTGTTAATTAAATAAAAAGCAACATCATTATTTTAGCAGTGATAGTAACAATAGACCCACATTTAACATTTACACCTTTCAGTCATGATTTGTGTCTACTACTGTTTTTATTCAAATTGATCCACCCCAAACTTTGATTTGATAATGTCACATGTTGTGAGAAATCAGTTGTGTCAAAAGGAATACCTGTGATAAGCATTAACCCACTTTTTTTCTTGATAGACAATGAGACAGTTGGGAAGTCTGCAGGGATTAAACACACTTTCTCAGGTAATTGTATTTTCAAATATTTCTTATTGCAAGTATTAATGGTGGTGGTGGTGGTAATATTAGGAGCAGCATTATAATTCATAAAATTTGTTTGGGAATAGGCAATATCTTAAATATTGGAAGAACAAATAAGTAATTAAGATAGCCTAAAATAAAATAATACAGGGTGAAAGGGAAAAATTAAATAATATTGAATTTTCTTTAGTGAAAAAACTCCTTTCTTGCATTATCAATTTAATTATATGGCCCAAAACACAAGCACTTAAAGAGCTAAATCTCCGACAAGTTTATGGGAATATTGCAGTCTGCTTCAGAATGGAACTGAAGTCTGTTGGAAGGGAGAGTGTGTTTACCTATCTATTTTAAATTAACCAACATCACTTTTGCTTTGCTATCCCTAGCTGTGGATTTTTTAGAAAATGAAAGCCAAGTTTGATCCAATGTTAAAATATGAGCACGTCTTTTATTCTCCATGTCTTTAGTTTTCTAGATATGGCTTTGGGAAATCATTTAATTCTTTGTGGATGAATGGTCTCCTCCCGCCACACTCCTCTTTCCCATGGATGAGACCAAGGGAGCATGAAACTCAACAAGTAAGTGAATTGCATCAATGTTTTTGAAACTTCAGGCTTTAAAATCTTTCCCTATTTGCCTTCTCTAAATTGGGATATATTAGACAAGTACTAGCAATTAACAAAAAACTATCCTCATACCAAGGAAACCAAAGCCTATAGCTGCTTTCAATACTTAGTAAAATTCTTAAAATTTTCAACCCATTTGTACATTTATTTCAAATAGGAAGATATAGCCTCCAAAATATAAGAGACCTATATTAAAGATATCAGCAATAACAATAGGTAATCAATTCCCAAAAATGGAAGCAAGCTATATCCTGGACAATTTTCATTTTAATCAAGATTTTCTAAATAATTATTCAAATACTAATTTCAAATGATGGCAAACATCCTGGTTAAAACATCAAGAACCCTACAGAAGTCAATAAATACATCAATCTGTTAACCATTATTTATTAGGTACCTAATAAATACATAAACCAAATTGTGTTAAGTGAGGACATTTGAGAATGGCTCCAAGGAGCATGAAGTTTCAGATCTCCTCTGGCTCAGATAAGACAAGACACCGTATGTCTGATGTAAGAGGTGTAAGGAACCGAATGCCATAGGTGTTCAGCAATGGGCAGTGGTTGAAGAGGTGAAGCAGAGACAAATGATTGTGAGATATCCTGACTGGTTTGGGGAGTTTGCAACCAATCCACAAGCAATAGAGGGACCCATTGACCACAAGTAATTTTTAAAAGAAGATATAAAATGTGGTGGCTTTAACAGGAAATTCTAATGTGTTATATGGCCTTCCACGGCAGGAGCATTACCCGCCAGGCCATATTTAGTAGGACCATAAATTTTGGTGATTATTCGGTCCATATTGAGTAGGACCATAAATGATGGTGACTATTTTTTCACTTGATTGTTTCCAAAATGGACTCTCTGATGCAGGAATTTGGTCAGTATTTTATTTAATTACCATTTATCTTTTCATTAATTCAAGAAATATATTAAGCATTCATCGTGTGCTAGATACTTATTAGAAGCTGTTAAGTACAGAGTTTATAAAGATAAATAAGATATATCAATCTCTCTCCATTGACTGGGGGACAAAGATTTGTAACAAATAATTATAATTCAGTGAAAAAGTGGTAAAATAAAGATATTTACAGGCAGCCATGGGAACCCAGAGGAGAAAGGGACTCATTCTACCAGGAAGTTTAGGTAGCCCATCTTCATGAACAATGGTGGTCCCAAAGGAGGTAGGGGAGGCAGGCACGAGCAAGACCTCCCAGATAACATTGACTCTAAGTAAATTGGTGCTTCCCATGTAAACACGGCTTCAAGACAAGTCCCCTAGCCTCCTTTCCAGACAGAAAGCACCCCAAGCCCTTTTGCTTTAGAAATTCTAGATACCACAGTTTAATGAGCCATCCTTTCCTGATACTCTTTTCAAATTTCTCTGCAGTATGAATATTCTTTGCCTGTGCATCCCCCACCTCTCCCATCACAGCCATCGCTGCAGCCTCAACAGGCAGGACTAAAACCTTTCCTCCAGCCCACTGCTGCAAACGCCATCCAGGCCACAGAACAGAAGGGAGGGCCTCAGCCTCCGATGCGCTTGGAACAGCTGCCCTTGCAGGAAGGAGAACTGCCTGCGATTCAGCAGCAGGTGGCACCGTCAGACAAGCCACCAAAGCCTGAGGTACTTCCTTTCTCTGAAGTCAGATCAGGATCACTCTCTATCCTAATAAAAGACCAATTCGCAGGGTACTTTTAAATTATAATAGCCCTCAGGCATGATGCACGAAAATACAAATATGTTCTTTATCAGTCTTCCATACTGGAGACTTATTTTTTGGACAAAACATAAATATCCATTCCTGTCCTTTGCCATCAGAGACGATGCATGGATTCTAAACGATCCCGAGCCCGTAAAACTTGGTTTCTTAGTTGCAAAACATGAAAGCTTCCAGAGGAAATAGAACAGCCCAGAAAAGTCTAGACTTTCTATCACTGGCTTTTTTTAGTGTTGGAAAGCTTGGGAAGAGTGATTGATCCCTCAGCATGACAAGTAGGATTTTGCATTGTTGTCTCTCTGACAGAGAAACGACAACCATGCAAAAGTACCTTATAATAATACGGAGAAAAAGGCAGTGTACAGAAAAGGAACTAGCATGTTGCAGGCATTTAACATTCCACCATATCATCAACTACAACCCTATAAAAATAGATGTTATCAGCCTTTTTAAAGAGAGGAAGACAGACTTTGAGAGTCAAAGAGACAAAACTTGCCCAGGATTACACAAAAACTAAGTGGCAGAGCCAGGATTCAAACCAACCAAGTATGTTCCAATTCCAGAATTCATTATTTTTTACTCTCCAAGGGATAGCAAATCCGTGATAGACATGTCTCATCTACCTGCACGTACGCTTGTCATGTGAGTAAAAGACAACCGCAATGTCTTGGATTGTACCCCCAAAAGACTAAAAGAAAGTAAAACAGAAAAATCTATTTTAGATTGTTTCATTGTAATGGTAAACAAGTGTGTTTTCAATTCACATTGTCTATTTTGACTGGTAATTTTAATATTTCTCTGTGATACAGCTCCCAACAGTGGATTTTGCTGATCCACAAGGTCCAACAGTAAGTAGAGAGCTCAGTGAGATACTTTCTTGGGAAAAATAGCTTTATACTTCAAAAATTAAGAGTGAAATTTTTAAATTGTCCCATTTATCCATGAATATGAAATATAACTGGTTCCTTTGTTTTCTTAAATATTAAATACTTATTTTGCATAGTAATTCATCAGAAAATATGTTTCCTATAATTCTTATAAATTACTATAATGGAGATTTGCCTATGTAAATTACTTATTCTGTTTTCTACCATTTAAAGATATTCCAAATAGCCCGTTTGATAGCTCGGGGACCAATGACACAAAATAAACAATCTCCAGTAAGTATTATTTTTTTTAATGCCACTTCTCTGATTGCAATTTACTTAAAAGTTTTTCCCTTAGAAAACGCATTTTGTGATAACTATCGTATTTTATTTAGCTTTACCCAGGAATGTTTTACATGTCCTATGGAGCAAATCAATTGGTAAGTCCATATTCTATTTTTAAAAATCATTTTCAAATAATATAAATAAATAATAATAACATTTAATTAAATGTTATCTTAAGAGCTAAAATTACAAAATCCAGGCCTTACCTAAGAAATTCCAAATAACTATTCTTTTAAATAGTAAGGAGGCACACTTCCTGTTTGGATAATTCTGGCCACACACACACACACCCTGAAGAAAAAATAATTTTTAGATCTGAATTGTCCACATTGGATACATTTATTTGATAATGACTCACCTTTCCACTTTACTCTGCCTCTAGACACAGCAATAGTATTAAGATTTATGGGAAACTAAATGACATAACTTTGTCTTGAGTAGTTAGGAAAGTAATAGAAGGCAGCTGGTTCATAATATCATGCAATGTTTCTTTTTGACCAGAATGCCCCTGGCAGACTTGGCATCATGAGTTCAGAAGAAATGGCCGTGAGTAATGTCTTCTCACTCTTCTTAAAATAGTGGCCAGAGAAGAATAGTCACAGATGACTAGCTGCAAGAGACACTGGTCATGAATACAGCCAATGAGCATGATTTTTCCACTCCAAAACTCAGATTTTTCCACTCCAAAACCGAAAGCTTGATTCCAAAGCAATATCCAAAGATTTCATCATGTTTCTTATATAGTCATTCATTTCTGAATGATGGTCATTCTTGAGCACAGGGTTTTACCCCATTCCTTCTATAGGAGCAGTGGAGAAACCTCTCTCAAATGCCATCATCCTTGAACTGTAAACACTTCAAACCAAAAAAGCTGTGTGTAGCTCATACAGAGTTCCCATTCCTTGTAGGACCATTTAACCCCTCCAAACACCAAATTCGACAGCACTGCAAGTAATTCAAATCTCAAAATTGAAAGGTCAAAAAGAAAATTAACCAAATTTAAAATTTGGTTATTATAAACTTCAAAGTGCATTAAGTCAGGGAGAATATATTCTTATTCTGTTATCATCATCCATGCATGTTACACGTTTAAGATTTGAGATCAACAGACTCACACAATTTGACTTTTTCCCTCAGAAGTTTCTACCTGTTACATCTGTTAGAGCACAAAGCAAGACAAAACAAAAGCCATACTGAATTTACAAATCATTATCAACTACGGATTCTATCAAATTAATAAATATACACACATCCTATCAGTGAAAGAAAACTCACATCTCAACATTTTTGAGTGCCTACTATTGACAAGATAAGATCCCTGTTCTCAACGAGCTTACAGTCTGATGAATGAGCAGATAATGTCAAAATAATGGGATAGCAATAGCAACAGTTTTATTAGAGGGAAAGAGGAGGCGAGCAAAGGCAGTCAGCCCAGCCCAGGGATCTACAGTGCCATCCCTGGAGGAGATGATGTGAAAGCTGAGACTTAGAGAGAAAAGCCAGGAGAAGGTAGAAGGAAAGAGTGTTTTATCTCTGTAACACCAACAGAACTGGCTGAAAATTCAAAATTCAAGTAAGTGTTCATTACCGTCCTATAATATTAACTTATTTATATTCTGCCTCATTCCCAAAAGATTTTGTGGTAGTTTACAAACAAATACACAAAAAATATAACCAAAAAAGTGAGGGTAAGATTTCGAATGAGTCAAAATTATGAGAAAATCAGAATACGGATATGCAAATCACACACCTGCTCAGTCGCTACAAATAGCCTAAGATTTGGGTCCTTATATTCCTGGCAGCAAAGGAAGAAAAAAAAAATAGTCGGTTCTGGAATTCTATCTGCCCGTAGAAAGGAAATATTTTAGTTCCTCCAGACAAATCAAACTTTTTCTTACCCCTTGTGCTTTAAAAAACCAAAAACATTCCTGTGTGGAGTTTCATTCATTTGGGGGACACTGAAAAATGCCATTCACAAGATCCTCCAAAACATCTCTCAACAAATGCAATTATGGATTTCAGTTTTTGTTGGTTTTATTATGGAAGTGCTCATTTCGACTGCTTATTGTTTTCTTAAAATTAAAGTCAAAGACACTTTGCCTCAACTGTTTCTTCTGCCCCACTGCCCCACTGCCCCCCACCCTGCCCTTCCAGCCAGGCGTGGAGAAGAGTCTCTACCAGGTGGCCTTCACCCTCCCACATGAGCACAGAATCCTCTCCAGTGTGTTCCAAGCCAGTTTAGTGAGAAACGTGCTTCCACAAACCTGCCAGCCAACTCCCTGTTCTTTATCAGTTTTTTATAGATTCCCAGGGAATATGACCAGGTATAATGGCATGGTATGGTGAATAGCAGGTGATAATTGTGTCTTTGATGAATGTTTTCTTCCCCCAGGGAGGGAGAGGAGGCCCCATGGCCTATGAAGCCATGTTCCCAGGATTTGGAGGCGTGAGGCCCAGCCTTGGGGGACTGCCCCACAATCCAGCCATGGGTGGGGACTTGACTCTGGAATTCGACTCCCCGATGGCTGCAACCAAAGGCCCAGAGAAGGGAGAGGGGGGTGCACAAGACTCCCCCATCCTGGAAGCCAACCCAACCAATCCGGAAAACCCAGGTCTCCTTCCAGAGCTGGCCCCTGATGCCCACGCAGGGCTCCTGGCTTTCCCTGAGGACAATGACCCCAGCTTGGCAAGGGGCCCCGCGGGGCAGAGGATGGGACCTCCCGGTGTCACCCCAGCAGCCGCTGATCCACTGATGACCCCTGAATTAGCTGATGTTTACGAGACCTACGGAGCTGACATGACCACACCCCTGGAAGCAGCCACAGACACCACGATGACCCCAGACCCTCAGGAAACTTCCATGCCAGAAAACAAAGCCCAGCAGCCCCAGATCGTGCACAATGCGTGGCATTTCCAAGAGCCCTGACAGCCCTGAGACACCAGCTACCCTCTGTATGCACAAGCTTCCCAGCTTTGTCCCCATAGTGTACCTTTTTGCTAAAACGCTTATTACCCTTCTGCAGCAAAGGCATTAAAAGCACTAAGCATATATTAATAAATACAAGTGGCTAGAAATAGTGTAGGTCCCCTTTCTTGCTTTCAACATTTTATTGAAATAAAATATGTCAACTGTCTCTGTGATTTAGAAATACTATTAATAACATCAGAGCGAGTCTAAGAGTCTCAGCATTTGATAACCACTGTTTCTTACTGTCTTAAGAACTATAGAATTTCTCTGACTAGCATGACATTATTCTATCCAGGAACTGTGGCACTGCTTTTTTCTCTAAGCAAAGAAAGGCACATACTCTCAGAATTCTAAGCTAATTCATTTAAACTTTATTAAGTGGGGATTGGTGAAGAACTCCTGACTAGTATTATTGGGTTTGGTATATTGGATTTTAAATTCTCATTTGTAGAGTATTTTATTTAATCTAGGGAAAAAAACCCACTTAGCCTATTTTAAATAAAGAATTTTTCTCACTGAAAACATCAGAAATTATATGCTTATTATTTATATACATTTAAATCATCAAGAAAAGCATACTCATCCCCTACTTTTGCTACATTTTAATTTGTTTTATTCAATTCATTCATTCTTTCATCAGAAGTGTACTAAATATCTGTCTGTACCCTAGACACTGTGCAAGGCATCAGGGACACAGTCCCCTCCTTCAGAGCTTACAGTGGGCATGACTGACAAGTAGATAATCACTGTATAAACAAAACCCTAGGCCAAGGTCAATTACTGCACATATATTATCCCACAACAATACTGCAACATATAATAGATACACTCAACCCCACAGCACATGTAGAAAGTGCTATGAAAAGGCCAAGCTTAGGGTGCCCCTGGATCCAGCGAAGAGGGCCCTAACCCGCCCTAAGGGGCACTACAAGGGCCGGGAGGGATCAGACAAGTTGTCTCAGAACAGTATCCGTGACATCTGCGGAGTGAGGCCTCCAAGAGTAAGAAACGCAAGAGTCATGCGGGTACCACGTGAGAATTAGCTCATTCCTGTGAAATATAACATGGAAAAAGGGCATGCAAAGAATAACCCTTGCTTATTACCAAGGCTAAGTGTGTAGCAGTCAGGGATATATGCCTAAATCAAGGGGTCCCAAGCCCAGAGTTGGTCACCCCTTAAAAGTAGCCCCTACTCCACTCTCTCTTCCTCCTGCTAAGTTGCCCAGCCCAGGTCTTAGATTCCATGAAACTGAGACTCCCTTCCATCCCCTGATGGAGATTCCACGGATGCAGCCCAGGAAAAAAGAGCCCTGAGAGGCCGCCTAACCTGGGCTTTCCAGGAGTCTTAGCAGGAGCATGTGGTCGCCACCTATTGCTTCCCTCTCTTCAGGCGGGGTCCTCTGCTCATCCTCACTTCATAGACTAGAGCTGAAAGAGAGATACGGAAGATGAAAATTCAGCCTCCCCCAGTGGCTCTGGAAAAGGTGCAAGGGCAGGAGAATGATCTCCACAGTAGCCAGCTGATACCCACTAAGACCCAGCTTCGCATCCCAGACAGTCTCCTAAAGAACAGTACGGTCCGAGACATGCAGAAAGATCTGGCTTCAAACCTGGCATCGCATCTTATCATCTATGGGACTTTAGATGTGAAACTTAATCTCTCTGCACCTGTGTTTTCATTTCTATAACAAAGCTACAGCCTAGCACACAGGGCTGTGAAAACTAAATGAGTTAAAGTACACAGATGAAATTCCTCAGTCGTGGTACTTTCCTTCTTTTTCAATTGATCCTTTTCATAAAGAGAACTCAGCAAAACAGCAGCAGTAACAGTGGAAGAATGGAATTGTTCCCATTATCTGATGAATTTGTGCTTTTCCATTCACACTTCCTTGCCCTTCTGGTCCTTCTCTGTAATTCACAGCATGCATTTGTGAGACCACGCGTGCTGGTTTCCCTGGTGAGTGTTGTCATATCAGGGGCTCAAAGTTGGCCTCTGTTATTGGCAGCTGGGCACTTAATGGTAGTAATAGCTAGATCAACTTTGATGGGGGAGTGCGTTATGTCGAGCCCTTGAAAAACTTCTACCCCTGTCACGATCGTCACTTCAAACACTGACCCTCTGGGCAAACACCATGGTGACCAAGGAAAGAAGCTAAATGTTACTCTCAGGTGGCGCCATCTTGATTACTGAGAATTTCCTCCACTTTGATTTCCTAGGCATTTACATGAGAAACAAATATCTTCACACTATGTCCCACAGAGAGGGCCATCCCCATAACTTGTCTTCTTTATCCTTATCACCACTCTTCCAGTTTTATTCTTTCCAAATCCCTGAGCAGGTGACCAGTCTGGTGCTTAGCCTGAAGAGTGTAGATCCATACCTTAGGGCATCTTTCCTTTCACACAAAATAGACACCAGAAATGCAATTTAAAGTTCTGCTGGTTGAGTGGGGTGCTAGTGCATTGACTGTCCACTTCCAGCTGATGCCAGAATACTGTACAGAAATCCGTGAGCCAGACATGTACTCTTTCCTCTCCATTAATTGGTCACAAACAGAGTTGCCATATAATTGACCCTCCAAACGGGGACACCTTTAACAATGAAAGGTGTTTAACAATGAATCATTAACAATTAATGATTAAGTTGGACAACAGGTATGAACCAGTACTATCTAAAGCAAACCTGTACATCTGATTATTCTAGTCATATGGAACTCCCCTTGAGGTCAAACGTGTGGATTGACAGAAAAGCATCAAAGTTATCAAAAAGAAATAAGTGGAAGTCTGAACCAATTGCTTGTGCAATTTACTTGAGCCCTCCACACCTGCTGAACTCTGGTGTCATGCCTATTTTCATTTACAATGAAATGCTGCTGCTTGTGTTCAATTTATGATTCAGTGGATGATGTATCACCTAGTTCAAGATGGGCAACTCAAATAACATAATCACTTGGCATCCCATAGTCGAGAATATTGTCTCTATGAGGGCCCAGGAGTGAGGCAAGAACACTTTTCACCAAGAAAACTCTAAGGTTCTGTGCTGTTACTCTCCTACCACAGCTTGCCACAGGTCCCATACAACTACATATACTTCCAGAACATTGAGTTTTCTGGGCCATAATGCCAAAGTGACAGGGAAGCTTACATTACACCACGGACCCCTTTCATGTGCTAAGTCCCACAGAAAACCGTCAGCCTTTCAAGTTATACAATATGTGGCATATGTTGCCTTCAAAACACAAAGAGGTCCCACAAGCATTGTGCTTCTTTCTCCTTGTAGGGTGGTGCAAGAAGCAACAATTTGCAAAAAAAAATTAGCTCTCCCAACGTGCCTTAGACTACTAGACCCCTAGAAATGTCATCAGCCTCATAAACTTTTGCAGTGTTTATCTTCCACCCTCTGGCTTACTACTACATGTTAATCAAATCCTGTTGCATTATGTCTTCAATGTCCTGGACAGGCATCATATCCTGTGGGACATAAAGATGATCAAGGACCCTCAGGACTATATATGACAGACTGCAGGGGAGTTCACATAGTCGTAGAGCAAGAGAAATTTGTATCGTCCGTGTCTTTTAAAAGCAAACTGTTTCTGATGTTTCCTACTGCTTGAATAGAAGGAAAGCATCTTCCAGATCAACAGATACATACTAGGTGCCATGGGCTATACTGATTTACTCCAATAAAGTTACCACATCTGGAAATACATCTGCAACTAGCATCACCACTGATCAAGTTTGCAAAAATCCACTGTCATTTCCCACGACCCCTACAGCCAAACATCTTCGCTGTATCTCCCAAGCTTTCAATAATAACACTAATCTCTGCAATTCTTTCTACACGATTTAGTATTTTGTTAGGAAGAAGGAATACAGTTCCAGGAGCTTCTTTCACTTGGCCCTCCCTACCACAGCTTTCATTCCACTGGTGTAGGAATCATTGTGGGATTCTTCCAGTTCCTGGATATATCTATTCCTATTATACATTCTGGAAGTGGTGGAATAATCACTTGATAGATCCATTGGACACACTGTTAGTTGGATGTGGACCAAGATTCCATCTATCATCTGACTTCTACAAGTTTTAATCAGTAAACTATAAAAGTTTTTAAGGTTCAGAACCACTATCTAATAACCTCCAGAAAGTCTGGGTATTTTCCTCCTCCCACCCCACCATACAAGTCTCCCTAGAAAATTGCTTCAGGTCCCCCTGGAGGAGGCTTAGTGGTTAGGCTATATGGTTTATAATTTGGCAACATTGCAGGGTCCTTCCTCACAGGGACCTGGTCTCACCTCAGTTGAGGGGCTCTAGTTCTGGGAAATGGGCAAGAAACTATGAATCCCACTACAGCGATCTGAGTTAGGGTCAGTGAACCTAGAATTTTTTTGTCTTTTTGTGTCAAGCAGTACCTTAACAGCATGTCCATTGATGTTCTTCTAGAAACCCATGATCATCTAGCCGGAATCCTACTGGTCAAAGCGCACAGATTAGCGTGCCATCCTGTGGCTCATTGTGGTCACTGCACACTCCTAGTCTATGAGAGATAAGCATCACCACCTGGACTCTACTATTTCAGGCTCCCATTTTTCCCATTGGTATTCCAAAGCGGCATTCTTCATTATCATATCTGGCCTACAGGTAGATAATACCTTATTGAAGGAAGTGTTTTCTGGGTTCTTCTGGGTGGAGAGTGAATCTGCAGTGGTAAACATAATACAGTCATCCCTTCATGTTCTTGGGTTCTGCAACTATGGAGTCAATCAATTGCAGATGGAAAATGCAGTTAAGCCTATGGTAGTTACATTTGTACTGAATATGTACCTACTTTTTCTTCTTGCCATTATGTCCTAAACAATATGGTATAACAGCTAGCTACATGGCATTTACATTGTAGTAAGTATTATAAGTAATCTAGAGATGATTTAAAGTACTCAGGAGGAGATGCATAGGTGACAGG